GTGTGTGTGTGTGTTCATGTGTGTGTGTGTGTGTGTGTGTGAACTGAAGCATTCACACTCCAGCATCCATTTCAAACGACACTCCAAATGCAAACAAAACTAACAGTAGCAGACAACAAAACAAAACAAAAATCAAACTCGACATTATGCAAAAAAAGGAAATTTATTGATCAAATCTGCAAGTTTCAGAAAGAATTCCTCACCACAGATCAAACACGAAAGTCTCAACAGCCCATAGCATCAAGGCATTATAAATGTATCTTTACTGATGTTTATGTTGTTGTTTATTTTAAATATCAACAGGACATGCATGCATCAGCAGACAAACAAACATACAAATGTACACAGACGCAAACATAACAAAAATATATCATAACGAACATTATCATCAATGTCTTTGTACATAACAACAAACAACTAACACCCATTTATTTCATGGTGTAACACAGACACATACAAATTATGCAAACATACATCCCTCCCCCTCAAAAAAAAAAAAGAAACAGTCACTCTCCACACATCACACAAAACACACATGCATACAAACATCATTGTCAATGTCTTTATATATAGCAAAAAAATAAACACCCATTTAATTCATTGTGTCACGGCCACACACACATACATACCAAAATCCTGCACACAAAACATACGCCCAAATAATCAGTCATCACCCACACATCAATGCTCCACCATACACACCAAACGTTTTTTTCCACTTCACTGCAACCATTGTAAATAAATGTATTTAAGACTTCCATTTTTCAGGGTTCAAGTCCAGAGTTCAAGCAGGAATTCAAAGTAGACTGCCAGTCAGTACTACAATGTAAATACTTATCAACTAATTTGTGTTTTTCCAGAAAAATGTAAAAAATGATCAGTTTCAGCAATTTTTTTTTTCATGAATTTTCTAAAGACTTAATCAAATTTAGAACCACTATCTGTCGGCACTATCTGTGGGCACAGCCATTAGCAAGGCCAACAAAATGAATTTGCCCTATCAATCAAGCACCTCCTGTTTTCAGAGGACATATAAAACTACATCACTCTCTCTAATCAACTTCATAAACTTCACACCAATTTTCTACTTTCAGTTCATTTTCACAAGAAGATTGATTAACTCTTTTCAATGGGATCCGAGCTGTAGAAATAAAAAGTCGGTTTTCACTATAAGGTTTTTACTTGTACTTGTATAAAGTGTTTCAAAAAAATTAAATAATAATAAATAATAAATTCTCCCTTTGAATAGCCACAA